AAGATTAACAATTTCATGAAAAAATTTCATAAGATTAACGATGAATGAGAGTAGTTTTTACGGTTTTTACAAATTGGAGTGGTTTTCATTTGATCGTTCCTCTATATAGGGGTGAGTTCAAATAAAAACCACTCAATTTGTAAAAACCGTGATAAATTGTTGATATATTATGCGAAGATTCATATAGTTTTATTTTATGCGAAGATTCAAGTTGTTGATAATTATATATAAAACAGATGGACATGTTCTGTTTCACATGTGAAATACTTCATTCGTTTCGTATATGTATTCATAGTTCTTTAACATTTCTTTGGTTCTCATCTTACTTATCATCTACAAACATATATGTATATGCACATCCATACATATATGCAAACACACACACACACACATGTATGTATATGCAAATACACATAGATGTACCAACACAAAAGTTTGCATGTGGCAGAAGAGCTTGAATTCATCATGAATAGTAATATACAACAGAATTTACACATGCAAGTTCTTAAATCTATTTGATCTTTCAATGAGATCAACATCACTTCATCTGCATACCTGCTTTCATCTCTATCCAACAAATATACAAATCTTGTGAGCTTGGAAACTCTCGGATTCACCCAACTTCAAATTATGGATCGGTAACACTTTACGTCTGCTCATAATGAAGAAATCCTGAGACGACAGATAGTTTGTAACCAGTCACAACAGGATACTAAAGCCAACAAAATGACCAAATTATGAGATGGTAGGGAGCACGGCATGTAGAAAAACCCAACGGTGTCTTCAACTAAATCCGTCAACAATTTTCACATGGACGGGGTATAAGTTTGACCTGAAAAGTCAACTCTTCGATCAAGATTACAGAATGTACAAACAATGGGAGTCAGGTTCTCTCTTTAAAGCAATCTATATACAATATCTCACCAAAGGGTCATTGGTCCAACGGTACCTGGGTTATTGGTACAACTCTGCCTCCCAGGAGGTCAGGTTAAGGGTTCAAACCTTGCCAATGGTGAAGAGTGTGACGTATTATATACTTCTTTATTGTGTTAATATAAAATACCTGATCATTGATCCAAAAGAGGACTTCCTTCTTTAGCAAGAACAAAGAGGCCACCATCCCCTCTTGATATCCTCAAGTCCTTATCGAGGAATGTAATTAGAAGCCAAGACTTTGTCCGTTCACCCGGAATGGGAATCTTAAGAGAAGGTTGACCCGAAATAACACCTGCTAAATTCACGACAACCTCTTGCAAAGCATCGAGAGGCTGCTGGACAGGTGACAAACTGATATTTTGGCCAAAAATATCCACATTTTGTGGAAGGCTTACATTTGACTTTATCTTTGGTGGCTGAAAACTCCCTTCCTTAAATTGTACCTGAATAAGCCCACAACATATATAAGCCGATTCAGTAAAATAAAGACAAATTGTAATAAGTCTACACAAATAGCGAACCATAGTCTAACAAATGTTTGCCTAGTATCCAACCACACCAAACCAAACCAGACCACATGAGCTTTGTATATCCCATCCGGAGGTGACGTCTGGAAAAGAAGGGGGGAAGATAATTACAGGCCTCAGTGTCAGGACCCAGAAATTTTCTTGAGCGGGTGCACCTTTAAGACATCTATTTTTTTCCCCCTATAATCAAGTGTGAGGGTGCACGGCCCCTCGGTCCTTAGTACCCGAAAGAGTAGAGCAGTTGTTTCCATGAAAATCCTGACTAGTGAAAAAAAGAAAAAGGGTACCTGTATTCTTGAGGGACTTCGGACTTCAAAGTTTGCGGATGCAGTTGATGTGAAAGTAGCAAAAGGGGTAGAAAAGGTAATCGAATTATCTATTGCAAGGCTGCTGGTATAGATTTCTTGACAAATCTTGTCAACCTTTAACAATGGGGTTGTGCCTGCGGCCAGAAGAGGTAATAGCTCAGAAAATGCAGTGTACCTGATAGATTCAGACAGCGAAATCATGGTAGATTACGGTTAGCACACAAACACAATGGGTACAGAATGTGAAATTAAAACAAAAATTGGAAATAAAATTTAATGAACACTAATGCTGATGCAGATTGACTTTAAGGAGAAGAAAAAGGTTTCATTTGGCATGTGAAGGAGGTGGACCTGCAAGGGATCACACACTTAGGGCCTGTTTATAAACAGCTTAATGAGCTTCATGAGACTCACAGCTCATTTGGTCAGCTATACATGACTGTTTGGTAGTGGCTTATGATATAGAAAGTGGCTTATTCAATAAGCTTCTAGGGAAGAGCTTTATTCGAAAAACAAAGTTTTTTTTCAGACCTGCCCCTCCCAATAAAAAAAAACATGCTTCTTCGATCTATGAAAAAACCTCCAAACAACTTCTCCAATCTATACAAACAGATTAATCCACACATACAACTTTATCCATACAAGACTTAATGGAAAACCAACCAAACAGCCCTTAGCCGAGCTTAAAACGATTTATGAGAAGTGTTAATAATTGTTAGTATTACAAAAGGTGCCGTTGCTTATATCAGAAGTGTTTGATTACTATGATATAAATCCTATAGTGTATAACAAGAGCTCATGAACTAGTTCCTATTACTTCTAATTCTAGAAATACAATATCATAAAAGAAGAAGAGAAGAGTAAGAAGAGATCTGGACCCTTGATCACCTTTTATCTCAAACCCACCCACGAATTGTGCTTGATACAAGGATTGATCCGGTGCATCCTAGTGCATCTTATCTCGGTACATCTCATCCTAATGTGCATACAAAGATGGAGATCCCTTATTACGCTTCTCACCAAAACCCAATCCTAATATATATAGTGAGAGAGACGAAGGATCGTGTGCGAATAGGAGTTAAGATGAGAAACGTAAGATGGGATCTGGACACGTCCATCACTTTTAATCACACCCATCCTATGAATTGCGCTTCTTACGGGAACCGGTTCAGGTGCATATCATTAGGGTTGATCTTCAACTAGGATTGATCCAAGGGTGGAGATCCCTTTTTACCCTTCTCACTATAACTTCCATTCTCACCGGAACCCTACCCTATATATATATATATATATATATATATATCACTAGCATTATATAAGCGAAGGATCGAGTGAGAAGGAGAGTTAAGCTGAGAAGCTTAAAAAAGGATCTGGACCCTTGATCACCTTTAATCTCAAACACACCCATGAATCGCAAGATATGGTTATTGATCTAGTGCATCTCATTCTAATGTGCATCCAACAGTAAAGATCCCTTCTTACGCTTCTTACCAACTCTTCTTCTCCCCGGAACCTAACCCTTAACATATATACCCTCAAACTTGGCAAATCTTGAAAAAACAAACCAATTGTAGGATAGATGGCGTAACCATGCTCTAGAGTGATTTGAAAAACAGATTTTCTCTAATCATTATACATATGAAAGCTCATTCTTTTGGGACAGAGGGGTTATGGAATAGTTTTTATACTCCCTTCACCAACAATTCCCAAAATAAATGCAACAATTCCACCTTTCCGTTATCGGTTAAGTATACCACTATAAGTGCAACATATCTCCTTTTGGTCAAAATTCATTTCAATACTTGTTATCAATTTCCATTTACTCCACATAATTTCCCTCTTTTGGTCTAAGGTCAAACTTGTTCATTGAAGTTGTTAAACATTACAATTAATTAGGGGGTGAGTTGAAATCAACCCTCTAAATCATACCCCATTTGCCCAAAAGGATCCAAGCTTTGATTGCACCTATTTTGAATTTGAATTTGAATTTGGAATGTATAAGGTGGAGTAATTGATAAGTGATAGATTGAAAGAGATCAATGAAACCCAACTGATGAATTCTATTTCGCAAAATGTCAGCATTGTGCAGAAGATTTTATGCAAGAAAACACAATATCAAAGGGATGATATCAAGTGTACTTACAGCAAAACCCAGTTGCCATCAAGAAGCTCCACCGCATCCGTAGGCGCCGGCGTCGGATTAGCCGCTTCTAACTGAGTCACCAATTCCATAACCTCCGCCCGTTCCTCCGGAGAAGCACGGATTCCGAGACCAGACCCATAAACACTGTCCACCAAACACCTCTTCAGCTCTTCAAGTTCACTATTACCCTCTACCGCCGTAGCTTCAACGACAGGACTGCCATTACCGCTAGCAGAAAACTGATCTGATTGCTCCGTCGCTCCTGTTCCCCATTCGTCATCGTCTTTCGGAGGATCAGACGTTGACAATCTCGTCAATGGTTCAATTTCCCCTTCAGATTTCTCCCCCCATTCGTCTGTCACCTTGGGCGACTGCAACCCATCTGATTCTTCGTCGTCGTTGATGGTTTGATCGACARGGTTCCAYCCGGAGTTGGCTGGGGGTTTGTTTGAGGAGAACCGAATGGATGTCGATTTGATTCTTCTGGGACGGAGAGAGAAAGATAGAGAAGTGGGGGCAGAGGGGCGGAGGATAGAGGAAGTGGGCGTGCTGGTGGTGGCAGTGGATGAGTTCTCGAAGAGGAGTGATGGACGGTGGAAGGAGAAGAGGAGAGCCATCGTTGTACTGGTTCTTGGTAGGTGGGTTTCCTTTCGATGTAAATTGCTACTTTTGTCCACGTGGTTTTATGGAAATCATTTGTTTTCGGTCTTACATTTTCCTTAAAAAAGAAAAAAGAGTAAACAATTTTGGTCCTCGTAATTTAGTGGAATTTTCGAAAGTGGGACATAAATTTTAGTAATTCTAGTTTCGGTCCTTATGGTTCTCATTTTGTTTTGAAAATGGTCCCCCATCACTAATTATGTTTGGTTTCTTTGTTAATGTCAGGGACATTTTCGTCTATTTAGGTTGCTTTCCTAATTCTCTTTAAAAATTAATTATATAATATATTGTATTTATTATAGAGAAATTAAAATTATCCACAATTATTTTTTTATAGAAAATTAAAATCATAGGAAATTAAAATCTGTATAAATATAATAAATTACCATAAACATTTTTTTATTTATTATTGGAAATTAAAATAAAACATTTTGTAAATTATCCATAAATATTTTTGATGATTAATTAATCATCAAAAATATTTATGGAAGATTTGCAAAATGTTTTGTTTAATTTGCAGATTTAAAATTTCTATAATAAATGGAAAAATATTTATGGGTAATTTATTTATTTATATGGATTTTAATTTTCTATGATTTTAATTTCCTATTAGAAAATTATTTATCAGAAAAATAATTATGGATAATTTACTATATTTATGGATTATTTTAATTTCCTATAATAAATACAATATGTTATATAATTAATTTTTTAAAAAGAATTAGGATGTAGTCTAAATGCACAAAAATGTGTTTGCCGTTAACAGAGAAAACTAACAGAATTGGTGATAAGAACCATTTTCAGAGCAAAATGAAAACCACAAAAACTTGAAGTTATCAAAGATTAATTTCCACTTTCAAAGATTTCACTAAACCAAGGGGAGCAAAGTTTGAATTTACTCTACATTTTATGCAAAAAAAAATTGGAATATAAAATTAAAATTAATTATGGAACACTACTTATTGCAGGCTTACGAAATAGCCAAAAAAATATTTTTTTTTTATTTCAATCAAAAGATAATAAAATAGTTATTAATTTATTTTAAGCATTCATATTTAAGAGTTGAATACAAACAAATAAACTTAGAGGTTTTTTGGCAGTTGCTGAATGATTTGGTGCAAAATGATTAAGTAGTCAGAATGATTAAAATACTCTTATAATATAGTGCAAAATGAAATACAATTGTTTGGTGATTATTCATAATGAAGTTAGGATGTTGAATGGTTAAGGGAGGTCCATGATACAAAATCATTCAGAGTATTTTAGAACCATTAAGAGATAGATTTTTTTTTGTCAAACAAGATTCATCTCTTAGTTATTCAATGGTTGTCTTTTAATAGAACTATTAAAAGGTAAACAAACAACCCCTTAAATGAAATCTTTTAAAATAAGAGCACCCCCATGGAATGAATAGAGATGGCAACGAGTTCAAATATATCGAGGATCAAAATTCTCATATGCATTCTTGTTTCCCACTCTTTATCTGTGTTCGGGAACAAGATTTCTTCTCCATCCCCATCCTAATCAGAGAATGAGAACCAAGAATTTTTCTCCGTTTGTTATTTTAATAATATCATTATCAATTTAACTACGTATTAGATCAAAAGCATATGAAAATGATAAGTGAATTAAGGAGTTTACGTTCACAAAATGTTAAACTTTTATATCAACAGGGAGTAAATCATAAATGTCTTAAAGTTCGAGGGGGTAAAACAGCAACAGGTCCAGAGTTGAGGGACCTGTTTTACAAGAAAATTAGAAACTTCATTTGGAGGTACGGTGTTTGCGTATGGCAGCAATTCAAGATGGCATGGCATGGTCATGATTTTTGACCTTTTTCAGCATATTTTTGTATACATACGTTGCTTTCAAGAAATTGAGAGAGTTTTTAGAGAGAGAGAGAAGGAAGAAGCCATTGATATTGGAAGTCCGTAGCTTCGTTTTTAAGTTCTCTATCGAACCCCAGTGACGTCATATCTAGAGGTGAACATGGTACGATATCATATATTTTTTTTCATATACCATGTACCAACCAATTATAATCGGTACATAAATTTTTATACCATGTACCAACCAACTATACTTAGTATCAACTTTTTTCTGTTGGTACGTGTTAATATGGTTTTGTACCAACATCGTAAAAGTTGAAGTTACACATTTATTTGTATCGACATATTTACCAACTAGATCTAAATGCAGTAAAATCATTGAGTATTCAAATAACATGTAGATATGTGTTGTACAATTTATCCAGTTATCCTTACTTACACAAACACTTAAATAGCTTTCATGTAATATAAACATTCACTAGTAGTCTAATATAAGCAACTATTGATGGGCGACGATGGACGGTGTAGGTGTGAACCAGTTACTAAGGCTGTTAAGTTGAGGCAAATGAATTCAATCAAGTTATGCATATACATCCATATTATAATTTATCAATATTTAAATAAGATAATTAAAATTTTAAAAATCAAAATATGGTGCATTATCTTTTAAACTTTAATTAATAAATAACTAAAAAATAAGTCGGTATGGTACGGTTTTATCGTGGTATATGACTTTTAATACCACGTACCAACAAAGTTTAGATAGTTGATATGATACTATCAATCAATTAAATTGATACAGTTAGTATTAGTATTGGTTGGTTTTTCTTGATACCTGTCCAACCATGCCTTAACGAGTTGTATATATTGATTTTTATTTATTAATATAAATTGCATTATGGCTCTTAGAATTCAGAAATTTGATTTCAGTAACAAAAATATTCGTGGAAATTTCAGAATGGTTGTTTGATTTTAAAAACACAGTTTTGACCTGGTTTTAGTTTTTGATGTTTATGAAATTACCAAAATACTCCTATAATCAAAGAACTGATACTTTAAGCAATATTTAAGAATTTTTGCTTTATAAAATTACTGACATGGTTTGAGACTTGGTATTTTTAGTTATTTATTTCTCTGGAGATGATTACAATTAATCATTCTATTAAGTAATTTAATGATGAGATTAAAGGTGTCGTATTTGAATTATATCAAGAAGTTTAATCCAAAATAGTGATTTTATATGGTTGCATAATGGTTGATTTGACGTTTTGGGAGTCATCAAGATCAAGTTTTAAACTTCGTGTTTGACTAAAGTTACTCAAGATTGACCGGATTGACGAAGAGTTGACTTTTTATCTCGTTTGACTCATATGGATTTTAAAGATGAGATCAAATAGAGATATTTGAGACATATTAAGAGATTCAGATTTTTAGTTTGATTTTAAATCGAGTCGAGTTTGACCATAGTTGTCTTTTGTTGACTTTTAGAGAGCTTGAGTCATTAATTGGATATGGTGATATAACATGTGTAGGTCTTCAGTCAAAAGCTATTAATAATCGATATACATGGACATGCAAAGTCTTAATGAGACTTACAATGAGATGCATACATACGTACAAATTTATTTTGGACATTATATGATTTGTATGGTGATCTGTGCTTATGCATGATGTTTTAGTTTTCATACATGTTACAATATATTTACATGTATGTTGTTTTATGATCAGTTTGCATTCGTTATGATTATTGTTTTCAAACAATTCTAGCATGCGCCAATTTCATAGGATAGAATTATGATCAATTTTAAGGGGTGAACATTTAATGAGTAAGTCATGGATAAGTGGCACGATATAAACAAGTGGGTGATTGAACAAAACAAACAATTTAACCCAGGGTATGTTAGTGACTAAATGACTCATACCCGATCAGAAAAGTTATAACATCTCATTTCTTTCAGTGTTGCCTATTTTTAGAAAATGCATATGCATACTATTTGATATAGAGTTTACAAGTTAACATTTGAAATGTGAAATGATTTTATTCGCACAAACAATGAACTTACTGAGCCTTTTAAACTGATTATAGTATGTACCTCATTGACAAAAGGTTCAATGTTAGAAAAAGAAAAAGGGCACACACAGATACTTGTCCTGTTCATTAAGGGTGCGTTTGGTACGTGGAACAGGGTGGAACATGACAGGACAGGACACACTTGTCCCACGTTTGGTATGTTTTTAAGTGGAACTAACTTGCACACACATGGGACACGGGTGTTCACCCTTTACCCCTGGAACTAAGTGGAACAGGCTTTTTTTTACTAATCTACCCTCCATCGCACTCGCTCTTCCATGCTCAGACCCTCCATCGCACTTGCTCCTCCATGCTCAGATTGCCTCCATCGCACCCTCATCGTGCGTCCTTCCCCATCGGCGACGGCGACGGGAGGTTTGAATCGATTTCCTTCTCCATCGCACCCTCCTTCTCCTTCATCAGGTACACGATTTCCTTCTTCATCGCTATGTTTGAATCGATTTACTTTTGCTAGGTTTGAATCGATTTAGGGTTTGCTAGGTTTGAATCGATTTAGGGTTTGCTTTGCTTGAATCGATTTAGGGTTTGCTGGTTGCTTTGCTTGAATCGATTTAGGGTTTGCTGGTTGCTTTGCTTGAATCGATTTAGGGTTTGCTGGTTGTAATGCTTGAATCGATTTAGGGTTTGAATCGATTTATGGATCTGTTTCCTGTAAAATTGGGTTTGATCGAAATTTGTCACTGTAAAATTGATTGAAGTTGTATAAAATCGATTTAGGGTTTGAATAATTTAATAATTGATCTGAATCGATTTAGGGTTTGCTGTAAAATTGATTGTCACAGTCGAAATTTGTCACTGTAAATTTGTCACTGTAAAATCGATTTAGGGTTTGAAATTTGTCATTGTAAAATTGGGTTTTGATCATGGTGGTTAGAATTCTAGGATTGACTCAGTAGGGGTAAATTGGTCATTTTAACCAGTTCTGTCTAGTCCTATCATGTCTTACCAAACGCTGAACAGCTGTCCTGTCATGTCCTGTTCTGTCTCGTTCTGTCCTGTCCTGTCCTGTCTGCGTACCAAACGCACCCTAAGGTTTAATATTTGTGTTTAGACATTTATGTTGGATAAACTTGTAATGCA